TTTCCAAGAGTCTCCTTGGGAATTTGTCCTCCCAAGTTACAGCGCTCAGCTTTGTGAGAGCTGTTACTGACCTGGTACAGAGTTCAAGCAGTGGCACCACTTTTGGAGATCTTAAACCCTATTCTGTCATGCCAGGGAAACTGTGCTACTCCCTCTGCCCTAGTTTAGGAATGCAGTGAAAGGCCAAGTCTTTCTGAAGCTTTGATCAGAGCTGAGAGACTGAGTGTGGCTGCTGTGGAAAGATGCTGAAAACAAGTACCCATAAAAAAAAAAATCACAAAATAAGGATGCAAAAGAAAGAGCACTGATGCAAAGGGACAGTAACTACAGAGGTGGAGATGTGGTCTGAGAGAGATCTTCAATGTTGGCCACCTCCTCCTTAGACATTTGGGCCTAAAGGGGTAGAATCAAGTTTTCAAAATTACTTAAAAACAAGGTTTCTTCTGGCATGTTTTGTTGTTTCTGCTTCAGCTGTAGACCAGAGCATGCAACTGGGCAGATCAGTTTCCCCTGTTCTCTTCCCACATTTCTCTAATGCCACAAGACAAATGGGTAACATTTAACTGTTTAGACAAATCTGAAGCAAGTGTAGTTTCAGGAATAATTTGAGCGGCTGGGATAGTAAAATCCTTGCCCTGCCATTTTGAACTTACCTTCTGTTTCTCACCTACTTACATTTTCAAAGGTATTTAAATGCTATTTGTTTCTCTCTAGGGCCTTCTGGAGATGCCTCATTGAACCACTTTGGCAGCAGTGGATATTCAAGAGGGGTGGGAAGTAAAGCCAAGCGACCAAGCAGTCTCTCCTCAGGAGCCACTGCCAAGAAACCACGGACCTGTAGCATTTGCCACCAGCCTGGCCACACTAGGAAAACCTGCCCTCAAAACCACTGAGCCTGGATGGACATCTCTTGAGAGCCTGAAAGGTTGAGGTTTGCAAGCTGCTGCAGGAGCAGCTACTGCTGAAAGGAACTGAGTCTAGAAACAACTTTTTGAGTGCTTTCTGGAAGGGGTCATTGCAGGCTGCTCCTGCCAAGGGATACCACCCTCACGCATACATTATGTGCCTGGGCAGCAAGGGTTCAACCAGCCTTTGGTTTCAGCTGCTCTTCTGCTGAGCAGATTGAGATAGTCTAAACATTTCAAGGAAGCATTTGGAAACTGAATCTGCAGAGAAGACAGCACAGGATCTAATCCACCTGCAGCTCCTGCCATGGCAGTGGTTGTATGCAGCCTTTCTAGTCAAGGAAGAGCTGGATCGTAGCCTCTAGAACAGACACCAGGGCTGCTTAGTCCCTGGCTTTCCACAATGTGGAATTTTATTTCTAAGTTGACGTTATCTGAGCAACGTTCCCCTTTTTTTGTCACAGCACCACACCCCTTACCTTGGTTGTCCCTGCTGGTGAAGGAGGACTGGGTGCAGAGAAGCTGGATCTGGTGCTTGCCCCGAAAGGGAAGCTCAGCTGCAGTGTTCAGGACAAGCCTTCATTTTAGACAATTCCTGAATTTGAAATTGAGTTCTTCCTCAAACCTTGAGACATGCCTCTGTGATGTCACTAGTTAATGGAAGTTATTTTTGTCAAACTAATAAGTTACTTATTAAAAGATTATTTAATTTTTAGATGTAATGCAGTGACATCTTCACTCTGCCTTATTATTTCTTCCTACTTAGAATAGTTAAGCTATTGCTGTAAAAGCATCCTTTCAGATCTTGCTTTTTACTCACTGGAGCAATACAGAAGCTTTCTTGGCAGAAACTCCCTGCAGTTATTCAGAAGTGAGCTGCGGAGCGGTAAGGAAAGTGGTTTTATCTTACCAGCTGCATCTGCTGTAATGATGCTGCCCAGGGACAGACAGACAGCTGGCTGAACTGAAGGGAAGTTCTGTTTTCCTGCACTTAGCTTAGACTGAACTCCCTGGGAAGCCAGGCTACCTCCTCCCTCGCTATTGGGGCTTCCTCTATATGGCAAAGAAAGTAGATCCACAAGATTCCTGTGTCCTCTTCTGCCAGAGCACAGCATTCCATTTTTCCCCCAGGGCCTCCGCTGCTGCTCAGGACCCTACTCCTTTGGGAGTCACAGAGCAGTTCCCTGGCGTCAGGACCGAGGTGACATGCAGCAAGCAGAGCAGCCAGGGTAAGCAGGAGACTGAAGCACTTTCTACAGAGTAGCTCAAAGCAGAGGAGATCAACAGCAGTACAGGTTCACTTTAAGCTCTGCGTCAGAGAGAAGGGAGCCTTCAACTCGGCAGCAGTCCATCACCATGAGGCCTAAATGTAGTTTAGGTCAGGAGAACTCAGGTTGCATTTCCCTGTATCCCTCACTCCCACGATTAACAGCTGTGGCCTAAAAATACAGACCTGCCAGTTAAAATAACAGGATTACCAGGCTTTGTAATGCAATCACTGAGCTGGCAAAAGCCTGGCAGAAGCCAGGGCAGCAGCCTCTGAATGGCAACAGCAGCAGAAAGCATTTGTGTAGCACACAGGCAGCAGGTTAAGCGTTGCTGATGGCAGCAGCCATTACCAGCTTTCCTGGTCTAACCCTGGTTAGCGTTCAGGCAGCTGGGTAAACGGCACAAGCTCAGCGTCCGGATGGCTCACGTACTGCATCCAGGCACACTGCGGGCATAGGGGCTTGGAAGAGGAGGAGAAAGGCTGCGCAGGATGGGGTCTCACCACCGCCAAGTTCTCTGCACAGCAAGGGGGATGCCCTGGGCAGTGCTGGGTGGTTCTCGGGCATGCCACCGCAGCTGGAGGATTGCTCCAGCCCTTATCACAGGAGACAAAACAGAGCTGACACGAGAGAACCGGTATACACAGGGGAGGTTTATTCTCGTTGCTAACACCTGGGAAGTGGTTTGGAGGAGCAAACTAAGTCATCTTCAGACAGGGAGGAAAGGCACAGGGTATTATTTTCCTCCCATACACAAGACAATAGCTGTAAAGAAAACTAAACCACAACAGGTGCTCACATTGAAGTCCATAGGATTCCTCCATCTCCACCAGTGTGCAAAACCAGCTCTTTGTCCCCATTAAATATAAGAATATATTCCTTCGCCCTGGGACTACAGCCAGAACCAAAGCCTACTAGCAGCCACTCAAAGGAAAAAAAACAAAACAAAAATACCCAAACAAAACATAATTTCTTAATAAAAAGCGTAAACCACTTCAGTTCTTGCAAGCGCTCAGAGCATCATTCCTGTCCTATTTTCCCGCCCTATACCACAGGGCTCCGGGGGAACAGGACCTCAAGACAGCAGCAATACGTGTGTGAAAAGGTCACTGGACAGACTGGAAGGGGACACACAGCCCCGCTACAGCCTCCACCAAGGGACCGATGCCAGGAGCCTCCCAGGAGTCAGCAGCTCTCTTCCCGCCACCACATTTTTTGGGACATCTTCCAGCAAAACAGCACTGTGGGACAAGGGCCACGAAACCCCAGCGCCGTGCTAGAAGCACGCCCATTCCTCGGGGCAGAGCCGATACCAGCAGAATGAAGAGGTAGGGCTGAGCTCGCCCCTTTTGGTGGCTGAAAGGGTTTCCAAAGAAGAAACCCACAGCCCTGTTTGCTATGGCTGTACCTTCAAATGCCCAGACAACCACCCAGGTCGTCGCCTGGGCAATATCCTGCAGACAGATGAGGCTCCCACCCTGTCCCAGAAGCTGTCCAAGGGGACACTGCACCCCATGGGGTCTGCTGGGTGCAAGGAGCTGCTCCCCTCCAGCTCCAGCCGGCCTTGAAGCGTGAGGGAAGCCCAAGAGCCGCGACAGCAGGCTGGGACAGGCAGAGGACACTGGGAACCGCAGAACAAACATGCTTCATGTCGGCTCGCAATGCCCAGCGGGCGGGACTCACCTGGGGGTTCTCGAGGTGTGGGCTGCGCTCACCCCAGGTTTGGCAGAGCCTCCCAGGGAAAGGCTCCTTATGCCAACACCCACCTCGGCTCAGGCACGTTTTATTCAGACAGAAAATATGTTTTTTTCTCATAAAGTGCAAGAACTTTGCCTCTTACTGACTAGTCAACTAGAAGCATCGCAACCCTCACAGCGGGGAGCAACAGACAGGCAAGGAACACCCTACGTTGGGGAGCTCCCAA